TAGGATTTTGAAGTTACATCTCACATACTTTGGGCACGGGCCTAGGAGGGACCTATACTTGGAGAAGGACATCATTCTCAGAAGGGTGGAGGAACAGCACAGGAGAGAAAGCCCCAGATGAGATTAATTGATACAAATCTGGGGCAATGGGGGTACATGTGTCAGAGTGAGACAACACATGGCAACAACATATAATTTGCTTATGTTTACCAACTGTCTTCCCCGGTCACTCCACCTCTATACCATCAACAGAACCACTATGAGATTGAGGATTTTGTCTGTTTTGTTATCTACAAGAGGACCTGGCACAGAGTAGATGCTCAATAAATATTTTTTAATAGAATGAATAAAAATGCATTCCTTTGACCATAGATTGTGGGCTCCATGAGGTAGGAGTTGTACTTATTTTGTCCACTACTATGTATTTAGCCTTAGCATAGGGCCTGGTACAAAGTATGTGCTAATAAATATTTAATAAAACTGTCCAGCATGTTGTTGTTGTTTTTGCTTTGTACTGTTATGTTGTTTGTTCTCTTGGCAGCCCATGGTATGTTCAAGACTCTTCTCCAGCACAACTCAAAGGCATTGATTCTTCTTCTGTCATCCTTAGCCATTATCTCGCTCTCTGATGCATAGCAAGTAATTGTGAAGATCATGGCCTGAACCAGGCGCACGTTAGTTTATCCTATATATATGCTCTCACAACACACATGTGCATACAAATATAATTGTTTTGTTTTTGTATGACCAAAACCACTGAAGGCTAAGATTTACATCACTAGAAGACCTTCAGTAGTAAAAATGGTAATCCACACTACTAATGACACACTTCGTTGTGGTTATGTGCCGTCAAGTCACTTGAAACCCCTGGCAACCCTATGTACAATGAATGGGTCTGAACCCTGCTCTATTCTGTGCCAACTTTATTGTCTCTGACTCACCAACCCTGTCACCTAGTTGTTGACTGAATCAATCCATCTCATCCGGGGTCTTCCTCTCTTGTGCTGTTTCTCCACCCTCCCACACATGATATCCCTCTTCAAGGACTGGTCACTCCTTGCAACATGTCCAGAGTATGTCAGATGAAGCTTCAGAATCTTTGCCTCCAAAGAGTAGCCAGGTTTCACCCTCTCCATTATGAACCTGTTTGATCTCCTGGCAGTTCACGGTATATTCAATACTCTTCTCCAGCACCACAGCTCAAAGACATCAATTCTTTTGTCATCTGTAGCCATTGTTCAGCTTCCTGACGCATAGCAAGTAATCGCAGACCATGGCCTGGATCAGACATACCTTAGTCTCCAGACTGACATCGCTGTTCTTCAGTACTCTGGTTAGGTTCCTGACTTTCCAAATGCAATTCGTCTTTTGATTTATTGGCTGCTTGGTACCAAGAGTGTTGATTGTGGAACCGAGCAAGCTGAAATTGTTAACAATCTCAATCTCTTCTCTATCTATCATGATGTTGCCAGTCAGCCCCGTGGTGAGAATCTTTGTTTTCTTGATGCAAGCTTCAATCCATATTGAAGACTTCAGTCCTTGACCTAGTGAAGCAAGTGCTTTTGGTCCTCCTAATTTCAGCAAGCAGGGTTGTGTGATCTGTATAACTCGGGTTGTTGATGAATTTTCCTCCAATCCTGATGCTACATTCCTCCTCATAAAGCCCAGACTCCCGGATGATCTGTTCTGTATATAGATTGTAAAGATATGGAGATAGGACACATCCTTGGTATACACTCCTGATCCAAGTATAGATTTCTCAGAGTTATCCAGAGTTGTGATCCACACAGTCAAATTCCTTTGCATAGTTAATGAAACAACAGATATACGTTCTTCTGGTACTCTTTATTTTCAGTTACGATCCATCTAACATTAGCTCTAATATCCCTAATACCACACTCTTCTAAAATCAGCCTGCTCTTCTGGTAGTTCTCTGTTCATGTCCTGTTCCAATTATTTTTTTATAATTTTCAGCAGGATCTTGCTCACATGTAATATTAATGATATTAATTATACCCGATAGTTTCCACATTCTGTTGGGTCACCTCTCTATGGAATGGGAACAAAAATTACATACTAAGGAGCTATTAAAAAGAAAAAGGCAAGCCTATATATACAAATTTAGAAAGTTGCCCAAGATACATTGTTCAAAGAAGGCACAGTTTAATAAAGGTATAGTGTATAATCCCACATATAGAACATGAAATTTGCAGGGAGGGATTGCATAACAATAAAAGAGTTTTTCTTTTACTTTTCAAGAAGAGTGAATTGGGGGAGAGGGGTGGTAGTTAGAAAAGTGCAACAATGAATGACTGAAAACCGTAAGTCTCTATAAACTTTCGTTAAAATAAAAATAAAAAAGAAATGAAGTAAAAAAAAGAACATGAAATGTGTTTGTATATGCCTAGAATTTTTCTAAAACTTATTAAGAAAGAATTGTCCCTGGGGGTGGAGTTTGTTGTTTATTGACTTGACTATGACTCATACCAACCCTATAAATAAAAGATCTGAACCTAGTCCTGCCCTGCACCATCCTCACACTTCCTGACACACAACAATTACAGCAGTCAGAGTGTCAGTCCCCCTGGTTGAGGGTCTTCCTCTCCTTTGTCGACCCTCCACCCTTCCCAACATCATGTCCCTCTCCAAGGAATAGCATCTCTTAGCAATATGTCCAAAGTATGTGATGTGAAGCCTCATCATTCTTGCCTCCAAAGAGCACTCTGGCTGTACACTTTCCAAGACATAACCGTTTTCTTGGCCATCCATGGGATATTCAGTGCTCTTTTCCAACACCACAGCTCAAAGGCATCAATTTTTTTTCTATCATCCTTATTCACTGTCCAGGTCTCAATGCATAGCTAATAATGGCCTGAATCAGATGCTGCTTAGCCCTCAAACTGACATCACTATTCCTCAATATCAACATACTAGGCATTAGTGAGATGTGATGGACCAGTTGTGGCCACTTTGAATCAGATAATCAAATGATATAGTATGCAGGGAATGAAAAACAGAAGAATCATGTGGCATTCATAGTAAAAAAGCCAATTTCAAATTCCATCCTGAAATATAATGTTGTGTTAGGATAATATCCATATGCACACAAGGAAGACTCTTTAACATGACTATTATTCAAGTATATGATCCTACATCTAGTGCCAAAGAGGAAGAAATTAAGAATTTTTACCAAATTTTGCAGTCTGAAATTGAACGAACATGCAATCAGGATGCGTTAATGATAATTGGTGACTGGAATGTAGACGAAGGAACAGTAGTTGGAAAATATGGGCTTGGTGATAGAAATAAGGCTGGAAATAGAATGATTATTGAATTTTGTATTTACAATGATTTATTCATTGCAAATACTTTTTCTAAAAGACCAAAAACGACTTCACATGTGGATTTCACCTGATGGGCTGCACAGGAATCAGACTGACTACATTTGTGGAAGGAAATTGCTGGAGAAATTAATTATTGGCAGTCAAACTAGGCCAGGGGCAGACTGTGCAAGTTCAAACTGAGGGTGAAGAAAATGAAAATAAGTCCACAGGAACCAAGATATGATCTTGAATCAATTCCATCTGAATTTCACGATCATCTTAAGAATAGGTTTGAGGCATTGAACACCATTGATCAAAGACCAGGAGTTGTGGGATGATATCGTCCATGAAAAAAGCAAAAGGTCATCACAAAACCAGAGAAGAAAGAAAAAACCAACATGGATGTCAGAAAAGATTCTAAAGATTGCACTGGAACATTGAGAAGCCAAATTTAAAGGAAAACATGTGGAAATAAAAGAGCTGAACAGTTAGTTTCAAAGGGCAGTTCAGGAGGACAAAGCAAAGTATTATAATGGGGCGGAGCTAGATGATCTTCAGTCTAGTTATGTCCTGTTGGGTATTACACTTGTGCATGCAACTTTAGACTTATTCTTAAAAATATTTTATTGTGCTCTAGGTAAAAGTTTACACAGCAGAATAGGCTCCCCTTTAACACCTCTTCCACATAATATTATTCCATGTTATTGGTTATGTGTCAGCATTCTCATTTCCATTGTTCTGTAGGTATTGATCCAGCTTCCCCTCCATTCCTTGCTTCTCACCTTTGCTTTTGGGTAAATGTTGACTATTTGGTCTCCTACAGCTCATTATTTAAGGGACATACCTTTTTATTTTAAGAAATTATAATCCATATCAGAACCTATTTTTTGTTTTGGACATCTGTTTTTTTTTTTACTATTAGATGACACAATTAGATCAAAGATTTAGTTAAAATTTCCCACTATTACCTATGTGGGTGTTTACCTAGGGGCACCTCATTGGGAACCACCGATGTAGACTATTCCTTCAATGACTCCATTCACTTTAATTCTAGCTAGACCTCTAAAACCGAGCGGTGGACCAAGAATGCACAGTGGCCAGGATGGGGAGGGCCAGCTCTGTGGTCTAGTCCTGCCTCTTCCCCTCTTCTTTGCTCTCTACTCCTTGGCTTCATTTTTTTCTCTGGTTCAGATTTCTGTAATAAGCACTTGCCAGGTAGAGGCAAGCAGAACTCCAGAATAGGTGAGAGGGTGACTATCATTGCCAAGCGCTCACTCACTCTGGTGTAGAGTTGGAATCCACTCATAGCTGACCCTCCATGTTTCCATGGCTGTAAATAGCATCAGAACAGATTTTTGTCTTTCTCCTTAGGAGGTGCCGATGAATTCAAATCACCAGAGAGGCTCAACTTTTGGTTTAGTTGTGGACTATGCCATCAGAGTGGTCTCTTCAAAGGCTAAGACACAAGCTATTGTAGCTTTTCCACTGTCCATCCAGTCTATCTTTCCCTCCTCTTTCTCTGAGAAGGTACTTTTAAGAGAACTGCCCGCTCCCCAAATCCCATGAAATCTCTGTGTCTGGAGGTGATTTTTGCCTGATCACAAATGGAATGAATTCTCAGGTCAGGTATTTACACATAAGAATGAAAACAGCCAAAGAAGACACAGCGTGACATCTAATGACTTCACATTTTTATTGACCTCTCCTTCTTCAAAGGGTGAAGGGTGTGGCTACCTCAGTGCCTCAGGACTTTGGTGTCATTGGTCTCAGACACCACTTTGCCATCTATGATCCTGCGGGTGGTGGTCTTGTGGATGGTCTGCATGGAGTTGCTGCTATCTAGGGCATCAGTCAGACTGTGGCAGAAGACCAAGGTCCAGTTATAAACAGCCTTACAGAGCAGAAAGGATACCTGACACCTGACTTTTATCTAAGTGCTCCATAGCCCCATTGTACCTTAAACATTACTAGGGAAAAAACTTAGTGCATTCTCTTCATGTAAGAGGTGTGACTATTACTCCCTTAAAGACAAATAGAGGCACATATTAAGTAGCAGTCCATTACTCCATGGAGGCCAATGAACAGGCACATAGGGAGCCTATAAAACTCAGGAGAAACAATATTTTTCTCTAATGAGGGTCGGAGGATCCTGCTCACCTGAAGTCTTCTCCATCTTCCAGCAAGCGGCGGTAGGTGTTGATCTCAGCCTCCAGCTTGACCTTAATGTTTAGAAGGGCTTCATACTCCTGGGTCTGACGTTGCCCCTCTGCTCGGGTCTGTGCCAGCTCTGACTCCAGGTGCAGCAGGACCCCGTTGAGCTGCTCCATCTGCATGGCATAGCGAGTCTCCACCTCCTGCAGGCTGTTCTCCAAGCTGGCCTTCTGTGGGGGCACAAGGCAGGCAGTCTGGGTGAGCCCTGAGATAGAGTGTGTGGAGAAGCTCTGCAGCTTTTAGGAAAGCACAGTTCTGAGCACACACTCTTCCAGGTACAGGGTAGGCACTGTAGTAAGTGCAAAGGGGCACTGACTTTTTCTGAATGAAAAGAATGTATGAGGGGAGGAGAAGAATTTGGGTTGAGATAGAGTTTCACCTGTGGCTGATGGAGGTTGAGGTTCAGAATCAGGGCAGAAGACTGAGAGTTCTCACCTGATTTTTCATTGACTCAAGGTCAATCTCCAAGGTCTGGAACGTGCGTCTCAGTTCTTTGAGCGTATTCTCGGCAGCTCCTACCTCAGCTGACTGAGAAGTGACCACTGTGGTGCTCTCTTCAATCTACAGAGTGGAATGGTCCATCAGGCCCCTGTCTCCCTGCTCACCGTCCTCCCATGTCCTCAGATCTCTGTGTCTAGCCTGGCATCCATCCCTTCTCCATGGGTACCTGCTGGGACCAGTACTTATCCAGCTCTTCTCGGTTCTTCCTCGCCAGCTCGTCATACTGGGCCCGAATGTCTGCCATGATCTTGCTGAGGTCCTGAGATTTGGGAGCATCCACCTCGACAGTCAGTCCAGAGCTGGCAATCTGAGCTTGCAGGCCCTTTACTTCCTAAAGGAGAGAAGGGTGAAAGGGAAGAGGGGCTCAGGGTCAGCGCTCAAACAAAAACCCTTTGTGTCTGCCTCCTCGAGGATGTCTACAGGATGTTTTAGAAGAAACAAGGTGAAACTTGGTTTTACAGTCTAGGTAATGTCCATCCTGGAATTTTACTCCAGATGGCTGGTAATGGCCCCACACTCCCTGCCTGTGCCTGTCAGCCACCCTCTTCCTCTACCTACTCTTCTTCTGTAAACTTACTCCTTATTCCTTTATCTACAAAGCCTTGCCAGTTCTAACTTCCTTCATTATTTCTCTATCACTCCTCATCCTCAGATGGTTAGGTTTCCCCCCCTCATCCTATCCATCTCTGCTTCTGTCCTTGTCTTCTCCTTTCTCACCTATCCATCCTGACTTTGTTACACCAAAATTCAGGTGAGTTGCATGGTAGCTTTGGCGTACTGACTCTGAGAACGGTTTGGTTAAAGGCCCAGAGTAGTTCTGAACTTCTGTGCTATGCTACCTGCATGTGCTCTGTCCATGTGCTTCCCCACCCAAACAGGGCCTGACCCCTTTGGTTCCTGCCCTGCTCAGCGGCCCTGCTTGCCTCCTCATGGTTCTTCTTCATGAAGAGCAGCTCCTCCTTGAGAGCTTCGATCTCTGTCTCCAGCTGCAGCCGAGTGATATTAGTGTCATCAATGACCTTGCGGAGTCCATGGATGTCGTTCTCCACAGACTGGCGCATGGCCAGCTCTGTCTCATACCTGTGGGTGTGGAGATGGTCAGAGGGTCCCCCAGTCCACCTAAGACTTCAAGCTGTAAACCATCAGCTTAGTAAGCCCCTGGGCACCTCTTTTGGCAGCTGAGGCAATGTTCTTAAACTGAGTTAAATGAATAAATCAATGCTCATTCATCCAGCTCTACCCACCTTAACAAGATCCCACCTGTGAGTCCCTACATGACCTAGCCCAAGGAGCAGCCTGCTTTTAGCTCCATCTCCCCGACCCTCTATCTTTCAGCTTCCAGGCACCAAGTCTTACTTGACTCTGAAGTCATCAGCAGCCAGGCGGGCATTGTCAATCTGAAGTACAATGCGGGCATTGTCCACAGAACTTGCAAAGATCTGGGGAGTGGAGGTGAGAGAGTGTGTGTTTTATGACTGAGGGCAGACAGTGTGTGAAAGGTGTTAGCTGTATCAATGATACCATTGATATCTTCATCAATTATCTAAGTCATAAGAATAACTGGAGGCTCTTATACTTCTAACCCAAAGACCACTGCTCTCTGACAGTTTCAAACCCCTGGTGGTTCCCCAGGAGAAAGATGGGCAATCTCCTAAGCTATTTATGGCCTTAGAAACCCAATGGAGGGTCAGCTATGATAGGAGTCAGCTCTAACTCAAAGGCAAGGAGTTCGCATTTATTTTCTTTATACACACATACCCCCTCACATATGTCCTCCACACTGCACCCTCTCCTTTTGGAGTCCCAAATCCCAGCGTTCCCACCAGGCCCTCTTTATCTCTCCAATGGGGCTCCCTCCAGCAGGCCCGTCTGGAAGCAAACCTCTACTAACACTTCCTCTTCCAGGCCTTGTGCTAGCGTTTTCTCCCAGGACACCTGCTCACGCACCCCTCCCTGGGCCCCTCAAGCCCTGCACTAGCCCCTCCCACAGGTAGGTCTCCTGTTTGCTCCTGGATGACTCAGCTTTAGTCACATCCGCTTAACCCTCTAACTGTCCCACTTGGCCAAGAATCCTTTGTTCAATCGCCCTCCATGTTGTCCGATTTCCTCAGCAAAGTTCCTCCACTTTCCGATTATATTTTAAGGAAGGATCAGCATGCCCGGCCCTCAGTTTTGGAGTCCCAATGGCTAGGGATGTATGTGGAGAATCGGGGCATTCTTAGCACCTCTTCATGGAGTGAGAGATGGAGATGGGGATTGAGCCAACACACTCATTCTATTGAAGTTCCTAGACTTCAGGTGGAAGTGTGTGTGAGGGAGTGCCAAGCATGGCCTGGATTTAGCACCATTCCCTCCGCACCACTTACCTGGGCCCTCAGCTCCTCGATGGTCTTAAAGTAATGGCTCCAGTCCCTGTCCTTGGGTCCCTTCTTCTCCAGGTGTTCTCGGATTTTGCTCTCCAGTCTCCGGTTTTCAGTCTCCAGACTCTTCACCTTCTCCAGGTAGGAGGCCAGGCGGTCGTTGAGGTCTTGCATTGTCTCCTTCTCGCCCTGAATGCCCCCCACTCCTGCCAGACCCCGGGCCATCCCACTCGCCATGCCCCCAGCCCAGCCGCCCCGAGAGCTGCTGGAGTAAGACATGGAGATCCGGGAGCCCGAGCCCCCGGCGCCTGCATAGACGCTGGCTGCGCTGCTGGCCGGCCGGACCCGGTAGCTGGACGATGGGACGGAGCCCAGGGACCGGTAGTTGGTGGAGTAGGTGGTGGAGCGAGTGGTGAAGCTCATGGTGCCGGAGAAGTGAGGCAAGCCTCAGATAGGGCTTGTTGAAGGTGTACCGGGTCGGCGGCTTCAGTTATATCGCGGAGGGAGGGGGTGGGGACCTGCAAGGGCCAGCCCCGCCCCTGCCACCGGAGTTGGCTTGGAAGCTTGGGCGCCTCAGGTGGGCTGCAGCGCAGACGACTGCGCGCTCCCAGTGCCACGCCCCTTCCCCATTTACCTGTGCTGCGCTGTCCAGCCAACACCCCCAATTCCCCAGAACTGGAGCGAGTGACTAATGGGGCAGATTCATTAGGACAACAGGTGTTGGCCCACACGGCAGGAGTCTCAGGACAGGAAATGACGTTACTGTACCCCCCTCTTCCAGGTAGAGGAGGTGCTGGTAGGTTGGGGATTTGGGGTTCTGAAAATGGGACACTGGTGGCAAGGTTGTGTACGTGCTAGACTGCCAGCCAGAAGGTCAGCGGCTCAAATCCATCTACTGCTCCGTGGAACCAAGATGAGGCAGCTGTTCCTGTCAGCCTCAGAAAGCCTGCGTGTGGCTTTAGTTTTTTTTTTGAGAAGGGTGGGAGAAGCCAGATTTATGGCAGTGGGTTAAGTTTTGGTTTTGGAGAGTGGGTGAGACGGGGCCTGGATCTAAAAATGCCCTTAAGCTGTAGCTCAGGTGCCTTACTGCCCAGATGGGTCATATTGGGTATCCTAGCCCTGAAACCCATGGGGAAGAAAATTAGGGAACAGGGAGAAAGAAGGGAGACTCAGTCCAGAGCCTCTAACCTGCTGATTGCCAACCTTTACTCCCACCACACTTGGTTCCAATACTTCTGCGCACCCTCACCCACACAAACCCGTTCACTCACGACTTCAACAGATTTTTTTTTTTAAAAGGCCCTATTCTATAGGCCCTGGAAGCAGGAGCGGCATCCACTTCCAAAATGGCTTGCCTGCGGAAACTCTATGTACGAACAGTGCTCAGGCTGTTCGTTCATAGGGTCGCTATGAGTCGTCTACTACTCGACGGCATTAAACAACAACGACAATTCTATAGGCAGTAAACCTGAGAAAGTTTTGAAAGGAGATCACAGTAATACAGGGGTCTAAAGAGACAGACAAGTGGACCTAGAAATGTCCCCCTCTCCTCTTTCCTAGCATTTTCTGTAGACCTCCTCCTTTTCCTGACCCTCCTCTTAAGGGCCTCTACCTCCCAAATTTATCCCCTAGGGGCTGCCATGTCCTAGAAACTCACCTCAGGTGAAGAAAGAGGGAAGTTGAGAAGTTCCTATTGTCCCCTGCCCTAATCCCCTATTCCCCAAAGTGGTAGCCTGCTCCTTGCTGAGTTAACTGTGGAAGCAGATAGATCTTCAAACCTGTCACCTTCATTAGTCTTTTGTCCAGTAGGGCAAACACACCTGGCTGTGTTCTTTGATCTAGAGTGGACCTATTGAAACTTGTCAAAATGCCAGCTGGACAGAAGAGGTGGGGGCAGGTGGGAAGCAGGCCTGGCCTGGCTGGGAGCCTTGAAAGTAATCTGGTCAGGGGATCATTCAGGTGTGAAGCCCAGCTCAAATGCAGGACCCGGCCCTGGATTATCCAGGACCTTCCACCTGCAGGTAGGCAAAGTCCCACAGTACTCATCAGGAGCTGGACAGGAGCAGGCCAGGGTGGGAGCTGACCAGGGAGGGTCAGGGCCTCTGTAGGCCTGAAGGCAAATGATATGTAAAATAGAATCAAATGATGCCCACTGTTTTTCATGGAAAGTTACAGGTGTCAGTCAAATGGGATTTTTCTGTTTGCACCTTCTCTTTTCTTCACTGGACTCCAGAATTGCCATGTTGTATAGAATAGCTTAATAATAACAGTAACAACAACATAGATTAAGCATGTGATGCAACAGCTGTTTTAAGATTAAAAAATACACTGTAGCCCAATACATAACGACATGAAACCATTTGAACCACTTTCAAACATATGAGACCATGGCATTAATAACATTCACAATATTGTACAGTCATCACTACTATTGATTTCCAAAACTATTTTATCACCCCACACAGAAGCTCAGTACCCAGTTTCACTACCCATGACTCTCTCTCTTCCTTTAAACCCTGGTAACCACTTTTGTCTCTATGCATTTTCTTATATTTGATATTTTGTAAAATAGGTTCATACGGTCTTTGACCTTTTGTGTCTGACTTATTTCCCTCAGTATAATATTGCAAAAGTATCAGAAACCTTGTTTTACTTTATAGCTGAATGTCTATCTATCTATAGATCTCACATATGGTCATTTTTTCATGTAGTGATGGACACAGATTTTGTTTCTATCTTTTGGCTATTGTAAATGATGCGCCAGTGAACACGAGTGTACAAGTATCTGTTTCAGTCCTTATCTTCAAGCCTTTTGAGTATATGCAATGTACTGAATTTTGCGGATTTTGTTAAGCTTGAAATCATCTAATGTGGAAAGTTTGCTTTCGGTGTGACCATGGACAAGTCACTTAACTTTTGTGCTTTGAAGTTCTTCACTTATAAATGGAAACAAACACATAAATCAACCAAACCAAATCCATGACTGTCAAGTTGGTCCTGACTCATCGTGACACCCACTGGGTTTCCAAGGCTGTAAAGAAATATACTTATGGAAAGCCACCACTCATTTTTCTCCCACAAAGTCCCTAGTGGATTCAAACTTCTGACCTTTCGGTTAGCTGATACATTATTCTATGCTAGTAGGAGATACTAAGGCCTGGCCTGTCTCCTTGGGCGGAGACGGAAATAAATGTGTCATCCTTGTATAGGGGCAAGGATGTGTAGGTCCAGTTTTAATATATATATGCTGCCAAAGCCAACACTGGTAGAATGGAATGTGAATTTTATTTACCACTCATTCATTCATTAAACAGAAACTCATTAATTAGTAATACAGAGTAAAATAGTAATGTGGAATAGGAAGGTGTGCAGGGGAGGGGTTGTCAATTTAATGGTAAAGATACTTTAAAGACCTTAGATTCTTTTCACTAAATCACTTAACACCACTAAAGAATTACACTGGGATAAGGCTCAGATCCCAGGATTTTCCCCAAGGTTGCTTGCTTTCTAGGTCCTTCTTTGACCCCTGCCCATCCCAACCACTTAGGGCTTTCAGAGATCTGAGTTTCTGTCCAGTGTTAGAAGGGGGAGTTGCCAGCTGGCCCTTATCTCCATAGGTAATATCGATGGCTGCATTCCTGACCTCTTACAGCACTGAGGCAAATACCAACCTCAGACTTCCTGTCCCAGCCTCCTCCGCTCCCCTTGCCATTTCCCACCACTTCCAGATTCCTTTCTGGTTCAGGGCCTTTTCTCTCACTCTCACAACCACTGGGAGATGTACGGGGAGGGGAGCATGAAGGAGGAGCTTCTGCCTCCCCCCACCCCCAGTACTAGTGTATTGGAGTCGGGGTGGGGGCAATGTAGAAAAGGCAAAAGAGTGATTGTGGGTCTGTTCCTGAGAGAAGGTGGAACTGGAGAAGACCTGGTGAGACACTCCCAGAATCCAGACCCATAGAGTTAGGAGAGGAGGGGAGAAGGTCACCTCCCCCACAGCAACTAGCCTTGCATTCTGACGCCTTCGGAGGGGATGCAGGAACCAGAGAGGCCGGTTTAACCACAAAGTAAACTCAGAGATGACCCCTGATAAGGGTGGGTTAACTCTTGTCTCTTTCTGCTTCTTCTCCCCCCTCACTCAACATTCCCTCACAGAGGGCTGGAGCCAGTGGCTTTGGGGAAGCTAGATGGTAGGGAGATTAGGGGATTAGGGAGCATTACTAGAGTGCCTGGAGTCCTTCAGGTTCTGCTTCACCCTTTAGATTGGAAATTTCTTGTTAAACCCCAGGAGGGGGATGTTTAAAACAGCAACTGATGCTTGAGGTTGGGGTGGATAGTGGTGGTCTGTAGCCAATACTAAGAGGGATTGGTTCTTGTCACCATGTTGAAAGATTGAGAGTGACCTTAGAAACTCTTTCTTAAAGAGTTGAGTGTGTGTGTGTGGAGGGGGGGGGGAGAAGATGAGAAGTCCATGTGACATGTGATGGGAAGAGCTGGAGCCAGCAAGGTGGGTGAAAGGATCACCTGTGGAACCCCAGCCCTGATTGCTACCGAGCTGAGGAGGTTTCTGGAAGGGCCACATTCCCTGGAATCCTCTCTGAGTTTCAGCACCTCAATATTTCTAGGCAGTTATGCGCCCCTCAGTGCTGACCCTCCCCCTTCTTTGTGTGGAATAACTCCTTATATATAAATCCAATTAAACAACAGCCTTAAAATGACTAAGAATACTGGACCTTCCTTAGCCCTGTGGGAAACCCCAAGCCAAGCTCAAACTCATTGTCCCCCAGTTGATTTTGACCCTTAGTGACCCTCCATCAGGTCTCCTAGTGGCTCTCTTTCTTGGAGTCTTCCACCTGGTCCTCTCCTGGGTTTCTGAGGTTGTGGAATTCAATGGGAGGATTGGATAGTGAATTTGAACCATGAGAGATGTGTGGCCTTTTGGTTAGCAGGGCGACACACTCCTGACCATGCCACCAGAGCTCCTAGGTGCTGAGTTACAGAGACTCATGGGCTGCTGAATTAGGAGCAGAAATGTTGGAGAAAAGGAAAGAGAGAAAGGGAGGTGGGAACAGAGAGAGGGGAAAGGGATCTAGAAGAAAATGGGAATCGCATTTGCTGAGCCTTGAGTCTAGCATGTAAATTGAGCTCAATAACTAATTTGATTTAAGATAATAAAAGAAGTGATGAGAAGGGGATAGAGTGTAACCAGAAAAAGACACTGGCTACCTGCCACTATGAGTCAATTCAGTAAAGACAAAGAGTAAATCTTCTAAAAATATTCAGATGTCAGTGATCTGAGAGCAACAGGAGCATGTTGTTTGTTGTTACGTGCTATTGAGTTGACTGTGACGCATGGCAACCCTTTACACAATAGCTCTGAACTCTGCCCTATCCTGAGCCAATCTCACTGTCTCCACCACATTTACCACATTAGCCCAGTTCCTGTGGCAATCGATCTC